CAACTAGAGGAAAGACCACACATCAGCAAAGATCCAGAACAGCCAAAGACAAATATGTAAAGACTTTTTAAAAAGACAAATCCTTTATGATTTCATTTATATATGTAGTCTAAAAAAACAAACAACAGAAACAGACTTACAGGAAAAAGAAAAAAAAAAATGCTTTGGTGGTTGCCAAAGGGGCTGGGGGTGTGGGAGTGGACCAAATAGGTGAAGTGGATTAAGAGGTATAAACTTCCAGTTATACAATGAACAAGTCATGGGGATGTTATATACAGCACAGGTAATACAAGAATATTACAATAACTTTACATAGTAACAGATCATTACTAAGCTTATTGAAAAGATTATTTCATAATGTATAAAAATGTTGAACCACTTTAATGTACACCTGAAACCAATATTGCATGTCAATTATACTTCAATTAAAAAATGAGAAATGAGTCAGAAATCTACTTAAATGTTCTCTATATTCCCTCCGTCTCATCTCATATTTTACTTTCATCCTGAGGGCCTTGCTTGGGGGCACTTCCATGAGCTGAGATGCTGGTTAAAGATTCACTCACAGGACTTTGTGGAATTGAGAGAAAATTTGTGACTCAAACAGGAATACAGGGTTAATAAGTGAGAGACCCAGGGCTTGAATTCAGTCTACTTACTTCCACTCTTCCTGTTCCTCACAGTGCAGCTGGCGGTATGTGGCTGGTACAAGTGGGTTCCAAACCAAACTCCACCATGTTGTCCCAGCATTTACAAAAAGACAACTCTCCTCTTATGCGAAGTACATCTGTCTAAGCAAATCTAAGGATTTGCTCAGTAGGGTTGGGAAAGTAAAGACATAAAGAATAGTTATTTTTATTGGAGTTAGAACTGAGTTTCTTAACAGACTTACAGCTTGAGCTGTTGGAGGTTCTCTAACAAATGAGAGCACCATGGACCATAGGAGTGACTTAAAAATCTCTCATTAAATACAGAGCCTCACTCTCCACCAGTGATAGGGAGTGATATGTGATTAAGGAGAAGTGAACTGACTGGCCAAGAACCTGAATTTGTCTTGCCTTATTTCTAATTCAAAGATATTTACTAGGGCTAAAAGTTTCTTACTTCTGTGCTCTCATTACTTGTTTAAAGTTTTCATTTAGCATTCATCATTCTGCCAAATATATGTTATGTATTATATTTTATATAATGCTTTTGCATATGTTACACTATGTATTTTATTTATTACACATATTGCATTTAGCATAATTTACCACTGTACTCCCAGCACTTAGCACTGGACCTAACCCCTTTAAGTAATGGCCATATTTGCTTGTGAAGCTCTAAATGCTTTTCTTGGATTTGATTTAATATGGGAGAAAGTAGGTACTTACATTTCCTAAAATCGTAACTGATTCTATATGAGTAAGACTGTACAGCTTGAACTGCTGCGAGAAATGCTCTTCCTTTGAGGATCTGCATTGACTAGAATGAGGATCCCCGGTGGCTATTTCACAGAGGATTCTTCTCTTTTGAAAAAGGTTCAGGGATGAGGTTTTACTTTATTTGGGAAGTCTAAGGCCCTGGGGGATTTGAACTTGGCTTAGCTTGATCCCTCTTGTCCATCACTATCCATACTGTGAGTTGCCCCTGAACAGTGATATACTCTGTGTGTTAGTTGCTCAGTCGTGTCCCCGTTGTGACCCCGTGGACTATAACCCGCCAGGCTCCTCTGTCTATGGGATTACCCAGGCAAGAATACTGGAGTGGGCTGTCATTTCCTTCTCCAGGGGATCTTCCCGACCCAGGGATCAATCCTGTGTCTCCTGAATTACAGGCATTTTCTTTACCATATACTCTAGGTAAACAGAAAATGCCAGCCAGATGGTGCAAATTCAATTCTGCCTTCACCCCTTTTCTGTCTTAGCCTTATTATCTGTACAGTTGGGAGCCTTATCCCTGCCTTCCTCCAAGGGCTGTTCTGAAGACATAATGAGATAATTTCCAGGAAAGCATTTTGTGTTAAGGACCACATTATAGGACTTCCCTTCTGGCTCAGACAGTAAAGACTTTGCCTGCAATGTGGGACACCTGGGTTCAATCCCTGGGTTGGGAAGATCTCCTGGAGAAGGAAATGGCAACTCACTCCAGTATTCTTGCCTGGAAAATTCCATGGAGAGAGGAGCCTGGTAGGCTATAGTCCATGGGGTTGCAAAGAGTTGGACATGACCGAGCAACTTCACTTTCACTTTCCCATATGGACAAAATTATCATCCTCATTAGTTGGTATTAGAAGCAATGAATCGTAGATGCAAATAACTGTAGAATTAAAAGGACCACATTATGGAAGAATTACTTACCATAAAATGATCCTGGGCATGAGTCGTAACCAAAATAATCCTAAGGAACAGGAAGGGTTCTTCTTGGGTTGTTTAATCCAGCCAAATATTCAGTGAGAGGTTGGAACTGTTTAGCAGGACAGAAAAAGTTCTGTGGCTAGGTCCTGAATGGGCTGTGGCAAAGTCTGTTGAAAACATCTGATTTTATAGTGTGTGACTCTGAAGCTATTCCTTTCAAGCAAGGTTTCTGGAAAACCTGGGTGATAAATATTCTAGAAGTCCACCGTGATAAGGTATTCTGAATGATGCCCGTCAGTAGCTGCATAGCCCTTAGCCCTAGGAGATGGTCCCATACATAGATCAAGACAGCTTTATTGCCCAGGGAACAAACATTTATTTCACTGAAGCCCAGCATGCAGAACTTTTTCTTGGTTTGATGAGATTAGCTTTATATAGATCACAAAAAATATCCCAAGGCTTATGTCTTTGTCATTAAATATTAAACATGCTTTGCCCATTTCTCTATCACATTGCATTATGGTGAGTTCTGTGTGAGCCCATCTCCCCTGTAAGACTGGAAGCTCCTTTTTTCAAGGAATAGTGCAGCTTCTTTTATATTTTCCATGTCTAGCCCAGCATCTGTCATCTAGTAAAGATTCCATGAATGTTTATTGAATGACTGTCAAACCTTTTGCCTGCAATATTTCATTTTTAATTATTCTGTTTTTTTTTAATTTTCCAGTTAACGATTTATCTTAATTCCTTTTAGTAACTTTATATTCTTAAGAACTTTAGGTATAGTTTGATAGTTGTCATTGCCTCTATTGATCCTGAGAGTGGGCCTGGTATTTCTGTTATGGTATGGAGAGCAGACATATGTGCTGTTTGGGTCTCTATACCCTCTTTTGAAGGCTCTTCTGAGTAATGAATCTTCCCTTTAATTCTAGTGGAAGCTGTGTTCAGGGGCCATCATGCCCCCTTGTCTGAAGTCTAGCCTAGACACTGACTTGACAGCTAATCCCTTGTTCTCCTCACTGTGTATTCATTTGAATCACAAGCCCCAAATCTACATGAAGTTCCTTGGTCAGCCTCTGCTCCCCTGCTCTCTATGACGGTCTGATTCAACTTCATCACAAGGGCATAAATATTTCTATGTGGGACCTCTAAATGTTATAGCCTTATTTCTTTTTGCCCCATTATTTTCTTGGCTTGGAGTCTATAGATTCATACAACTTCTTAGATGTTTCGGTGGAGCTAAGTAAGGAGGACAAGGATGCCAGAAATTCACATATATACCTCATGAACTGAATCTTAGTTTTCCTGAGTCTTAGGTGATTCTCACTGTTTAAAAGTTAAAGCTAGGATGCCTTCCACAAGTCCTTCACAATCTGACTCCATCTTACCCTTCTGGTCTTATCTCTCTCCATTTCCCTTCTTGTACCCTGGTGTCAGCACACAGTCACTTTTCATTTCCTGAACATTCCTCTTACTTTCATACATGTGAATATATTGTTGCTTCTCTTTGAAATTCTCTTCCTATAAAAACTTGCCCATTGGATAATCTCTTCTTGTAAGTGTTTTAAGACCAGTCCAGATTACAGATCATCTCCTCTCTGAAGATTTCTGACATCTCCAATGAAGTTTCTCTTTCTTTCTCTCCTATTTCCCTTCAGTTGTCAATATCACTTGACATGTAGAATTGAAACTATATATTTTTTTAAAGATTTCTTTTTGATGTGGAATGTTTTTAAAGTCTTTATTGAATTTGTTATTACTTCTGCTTTATGTTTTGGTTTTTTGGTTGCCCAGCATGTGGGATCTTAGCTTCCTGACTAGGGTTAAACCCGCACCCCCTGCATTGGAAGGTAAAGTCTTAACCATTGGAACTGGTTAAACTAGGGAAGTTCCAAATCTGTATCTTTAAATTTTTGTCTTTGCCACTAGAGTTTGAGTTTTTTAAAGCCAGGCAATAAGGTTTCTTTTCATTTTTGTTTCCCCAGACCCAGTCCATGGCCTGGTTCATCCACATTGCCCATTACTTGCTTTCTGAATTAACAGTAGCTGAACTGACCTGGGAGGATTTTGGGTTGTGCCCTCAAATGACTGTTAACATGGCTGACAAGATTTGGAATTGCTAGGATCTCTAGTTAAACTGTCAGTGGTCACCATCTTTAATAAACAGTTTTGCTAGAAACTGGGATAAATTAAAGCAGCTGGGAGAGGAAATCTGTTTTCCCCTGGGCTGTCTCATTCTGAGGCTACTTTTCCTGTCCACACAGTGATTTATGACTTGGTACGTCATGTACAAACAGATTCCAACAGAGACTCCAGGTTGAGAAATTCTCATGTTCTTAAGAAGGGAGGAAGGGATTATAGGGAAGAATGTATGTCCTTGATTCTTTTTTTTTTTTTTTTTTTCCCTAAAGGACCCTCTTCAGAGAGTCACAAAGAAACCAAGAAGTCAGTGAAAACTCCTTGGCCCATACTATTCTTCAACCTCTTCTTCAGGCATATCCCATCCTTGTTTGTTTAATTATCCATAAAAATAGGGCCAACACTTCATCCAGGGACTTTATTTAAAGTTTCCAGACTCCTAGCTGGCTGCTGTTTCTGTTCCTCTCTTTTCCTCCTCCGCAAGGGGCAGGTCTCTGGGAGCCAAGGACATAGGGCTCAGCTCCTCATAGTCCTGCTTAGAATGCTAAGAGCCTCAGAAGACCAGTCCCCAAACTGTCAGAAAGGTTTCCTGCCAATGGCCCGGAGCAGAGCATCCTTGACCTCTTTGTTCCTCAGGGTGTACACCACAGGGTTCAGTAGTGGCGTGATGACAGTGTAGGTCACTGAGATCAGCTGGTCCTGATCCTTGGTGTTCTCTGACTTGGGCTTGAGGTAGGCGATGGAGGCACAGCCATAGTGGACGATGACCACAGTGAGGTGGGAGGCGCAGGTGGCAAAGGCCTTCTTCCGGCCCTCGGTAGAGGTGATCTTGAGGATGGTGGAGATGATGAGAACATAAGAGATGAAGACCAGACCCATAGGCACAACAAGCACGAATACACTGATTATCAAAGTCAGGATCTCATTGACAGTCGTGTCAACGCAGGAGAGCTTCATCACAGGTCGGATGTCACAGAAGAAGTGGGCCACCTTTGTGGCACAGAAAGGTAACCTGAATACAGACGTCACCTGTGTGGTGGCCACAATCAGCCCAATGCTGCAGGCCCCCCACACCAGCTGGGTGCATACCCTCTTGTTCATAATGACTGTGTATCTCAGGGGGCTGCAGATGGCCACATAGCGGTCATATCCCATCACTGTGAGCAGGAAGCAGTTAGTGATCCCAAAGGTTACAAAAAAGAACATCTGTGTGGCACAGCCTGCCAACGAAATGGCCTGGCTCATGCCCACAAGGCTGGACAGCATTCTTGGAAGAATAACTAGTGTATATATAGTCTCTGAAGTGGACAGCATACTGAGGAAGAAGTACATGGGAGTGTGGAGATGATGATCAATTCGGATAATGATCACAATAATTATATTACCTGCTAAGGTTAAGATGTATGGTGCAAGAAACATCACAAAAAGGGTGAGATGGTGCTCGTGGAAGCTGGAGAAACCTTGTAAAACAAACTCAGTGGTGAGAGTATGGTTCTCTCTCTTCATTGAGTGGCCACTAGATTGGAAATGTAGAAGAATAAAAGTTACATAATCTCAGTAAAGCAGTTTAATCCATTTTTGAAATTGATTGAACTTTTTTCTCCTTTATAAACCTGGGGATACATTTTCCAGTGTCAGTGGAATACAGTTAATCTTTAGGTTTACTTATCTTCATTTAAAATAGTTTTGTTCTGTGGCCATCTATTATAATACAATTTCCTATGCATGCTAGAATCAACTAAGTTTTTTTCCCTGCACTGTCTAACCATGGACATTCCCACTTCACTGTACTCTTCATCCTTGTCATCTGGAATGCTCTTCCCATCTTTCTCCTCTTAATCAATTGTCCTCATTCTTCAAAGACTAATGCATGTCTTCTCCCCCATTAATGCTCATTGTCCTCTGAAATTTTCATGCTTGTTTGTGTTATTGTCATTCCTCCTCTGTGCACCCTGTGGCTTTGTACCTTTTACATCTGTGTATCTCACTGACTCAATATTATGCATGGAATTGATGCTTGAAAACAACTTGTTTAGGGATTGACTGGAAAGTTCTTTTATTTCAAAACTGTGAATCATCCCCTTGCACGTCCTTTAGGAAATAAAAGCAAAGCAGATTCAGAAATGTTCATCTTGTTTTCAAGAAGGAAAAGGTGAATCTCAACCAGCCACCATCCACACTGCTGTCTGAATGATGGAAGTTGGCTGACACTTCACAGCACTGACTCATGTATATTGTAAACCATGGTACATCTTCATTTTCCCTAAACGAGAAGGCAAATTTACAGCCAATACAACTTTGTGAGTAGGAATACACCTACTCTGCAGAGGTGAACAATCGTACCAGGGAAGATGCAGCAAATTCATGTGTCCTTCATCTAAAGTAAAAGCAGGCTCTGAATATAAAGAACAGAGTTACACTAAACATACATCATTTTGTTGAAAGATGGGGCTCAGTCCAATTCAGGTAGTATTTCACATTTAGGTCCCTTTAGACAGTAAGCTCCTGTAGGCTATTTAAATTATATTCTGATTTCCTTATGCATATTCAGAAAAAGACTTTTTGCATAAAGTAAATCATATCAGTGAGGAAGCTTAGTAGACATGGAGACCTCCTTCTAGTTCATAAAAAATTATTTAAGAGAAATTGAAGACCAACTGTTAATCACTTACATTAAGAATGCTAAAAGAGAGTAAAGTTGCAACAGGAAATATTTCCCAAAAGGAAAATTCGTTTGACTCTAAAATACATGACTAAAGACAGTTATCTTCTGAGAGGCCTCCAGGCATAAACTAGGCAGTGGTCCAGTCATGGGGTGGTATGGCACCTCTACCATGAAATAAAAAATGTGTGTTAGAGGTTTTTATTGTTCTAATGATGGTCACAGATGCGGTTGGCAATTAGTGGTGCTAAATGTCCTGCAGTACATGTGATGATCCTACCCAAGGAAGAGCTGTCCAATTCAAATACCAATAGGGCTTCTCCTGAGAAACCCAGGGCTAGAGTGTCATCTGATTTTGGCTGAAGTCTAACTGTCTTGAGGTAGATGAATGGCTGCTATAACCTGGTTAGTATCCACCACCCTATGGAGCCTATAATTCTTCCAAGAAAGTCAAGGGCAAGAAGAGCAAACACAACCTAGCGAGGACCTACCCCAGCTATGACAAGAACTGTTAATGCTCCATAAATTAAAGTCCGTCCATGAGCAATAATACCCAATTCAGTTCTTTTTCTAAAGAACACTTGCCTGTAACTGTCTAGGGCCGAGGCACAACAAGATAGCTCAACTCGAGGAGGCTGAGGAGTGAAGATGTAAGTGTCTGACTCCCTTGGCCCCGGTGTGCAGGTCAGGGAAGGGCAAGGTAACCAGAAACAACTGTGACAGGTTGAGCGGGTAGCAGGTAAATACAAACTGGCAGGAACGTGGTCGGGCGTGGGAGCTGCAGGCATCCTTGACAGCCCCTGTGTGGAGAAGTCTTCAAAGGCAAAGAAGGAGTTCCCCCAGGAGCAGCCAGTGGGGTTCCTGGAGGGGACTCCCTGTAGACATCCTCAGAGCCACACTGGGGCTGGGAGGGTACAGACAGTAGGTTCCTGGGGGGCTCATTATGTGTAGGGCTCATTTACCCAATACTAGGGCTGGCATTTGGGGAGTCTGGGGAGAGTTTTTCTTTAAGTAGTAACAGAATTAGAGGAAGCTGGTTTATTTAGCTCACTCTAACTTGTTCGAATAAGTCCATTATTACTGGCTGGTTAACTCAATTGGTTAGTGTGCTGTTAATAATAAAACAATGAATAAGTACACTGTGCTTTTTTACATATATGCCTTGGAAATCCATAGTTTACAAATCTAGGCAGCTCAAGCTTGGAGCCATATTACTTTGGGTCTCATGAAGTTTAGCACCCCCCCCCCCTTTTTTATTGGCAGGATTTCTATCCAGGGTTCTCTCTTTGGAATGAAAGTAGTCAAATATGGCCATGGTTCTTCAGAGAACAGTTCATGCTGCCTGTCTTTCTGCCCCTGTGACATTCAGAATTGGGAGACATTAGATCTTTAGACATTAGTCTTTAGACCCAAGGATCCTCTCTTGGGGGTTAGGAAACAGAGAAGAGCCTCTGAACATTGTTCTCATTACTCAGATTACCTCCTCTTCTCCATTTGACAAACTTCTACTAGTCTGTCAAGTCTCAGCCGCAGAATTTACTTTTGATGAAGACTTTCCATGAGTCAGTTTATTGCTTCTGTAATATTTTCTTCCTTTAACATGAGGTACTTATCTATGTCCATTCATTCTTGGAGTACTAAGCATATGCTAGGCCTTGTGCTCATTGCTGGGCATACAGCACTGAATGAGATACTTTAAAGCTTTGAAGGGCTCACTGTTTAGTTACAGGTGATTGGTGTTGTTCAGTCACTAAGTCGTGTCTGACTTTTTGCAATCCCATGGACCGCAGTATGCCAGGCTTCCCAGCCCTTAACTATCTCCCAGAGTTTGCTCAAACTCATGTCATTGAGTTTGGTGATGCCTTCCAACCATCTCAACCTCTGTTGTCCACTTTTCCTCCTGCTTTCAATCTTTGCCAACATCAGGGTCTTTTCCAATGAGTTGGCTTTTTGGTAAAAAGGTGGCCAAAGGATTGAAGCTTCAGCATCAGTCCTTCCAACGAATATTCATGGATGATTTCCTTTAGGATTGACTGGTTTGATCTCCTTTCTGTCCAAGGGACTCTCAAGAGTCTTCTACAGCACCATAGTTCAAAAGCATCAATTCTTCAGTACTCAGCCTTCTTTATGGTCCAACTCTCACATGCATACATGACTATTGGAAAAATCATAACTTTGACTAGATGAACCTTTGTTGGCAAATTGATGCCTCTGCTTTTTAATACATTGTCTAGATTTGTCATAGCTTTTCTTCCAAGGAGCAAGTATCTTTTAATTTCATAGCTGCAGTCAGCATCCACAGTGCTTTTGGAGCCCAAGAAGATAAAATCTGCCACTGTTTCCATGGTTTCCCCATCAATTTGCCATGAACTGATGGGACCTGATGCCCTGATCTTTGTTTTTTGACTGTTGAGTTTTAAGCCAGCTTTTTCACTCTTCTCTTTCACCTTCATCAAGAGGCTGCTTAGTTCCTCTTTGCTTTCTGCCATTAGGGTGGTATCATCTGCATATCTGAGATTGTTGATATTTCTCTTGGTAATCTTGATTCCAGCTTGTGCTTCACCCAAACTGGTATTTCCCATGATGTACTCTGCATGTAAGTTAAATAATCAGAGTGACAGTATACAGTGTTGATGTACTCCTTTCAAGAAGCTGTTGAACAGTATGAAAAAGCTAAAAGGTATGACACCAGAAGATGTGGCCCCCAGGTTGGTAGGCATCCATTCTATTTCTCCATGAGAAAGAGTGGAGAAATAGCTCCAGAAAGAAGGAAGAGGCCAGGACAAAGCAGAAATGATGCTCAGTTGTGGATATGTCTGGTGATAAAAGTAAAGTTCAGTGCTATAAAGAACAATATTGCATAGGAATCTGGAATGTTAGGTCTATGAATTAAGGTAATTTGGAGTGGTAAGTAGTCAAGTAGGAGATGGCAAGAGTGAGCATCAACATTTTAGGAATCAGTGAACTAAAATTGACAGGAAAAGGTGAATTTAATTCAGATGACCATTATATCTACCACTGTGGTCAAGAATCCCTTAAAAGAAATGGAGTAGTCCACATAGTCAGCAAAAAGAGTCCAAAATACAGTACTTGGCTGCAATCTCAAAAATGACAGAATAATCTTGGTTTGTTACAAGGCAAACCATTCAATATCACAGTAATCTAAGTCTATGTCCCAATCACCAACACCAAAGAAGCTGAAGCTGAGAAGTTCTACAGACCTGCAAAACCTTCTAGAACTAACACCAAGAAAAGATGTCCTTTTCATTTTAGGGGATTGGAATGCAAAAATGCAAAACTAGGAAGTCAAGAGATACCTGGAGTAGCAGGGAAGTTTGGCCTTAGAGTACAAAATGAAGCAGGGCAAAGGCTAACAGAGTTTTGCTGAGAGAACACACTGGTTATAGCAAACACCCTCTTTCTATTTTTTTTTTTTAATTTTATTTATTTATTTATTTTTAATGTCTCTCTCTCTCTTTTTTTTTATAGGCTAATTACTTTACATCATTACAGTAGTTTTTGTCATACATTGAAATGAATCAGCCATGGATTTACATATATTCCCCATCCCAGTCCCCCCTCCCACCTCCCTCTCCACCCGATCCCTCTGGGTCTTCCCAGTGCACCAGGCCCGAGCACTTGTCTCATGCACCCAACCTGGGCTGGTGATCTGTTTCACCCTAGATAATATACATGTTTCAATGCTGTTCTCTTGAAACATCCCACCCTCGCCTTCTCCCAGAGTCCACAAGTCTGTTCTATACATCTGAGTCTCTTTTTCTGGCAAACACCCTCTTTCAACAACACAAGAGATGACTCTACACATGGACATGATTAGATGGTCAGTACCAAAATCAGATTGCTTATATTTGAAACTGAAGATGGAGAAGCTCTATACA